AGGCAACTGTCGGCAGAGCCCCCTCATTACATAACCCAGACTAACAGCTGCCAGAAGGGGAAGAAATTTGGAGGGAGTGCCATTTTGTCATGTTTCCATATGGATGAGCACTTTGTTGGGTTTTACTGTTGGCAGAGAATAAAATCCTTTTGCTAGGAAGCAAGTTATTCAGATCATCCTGACTCAAATATGAGGCAGAATTCAAATACCAGATTTTTGCGTACTTGAGGTTGAAGGGAAAAAAATCAGTGCCTGAAAAGCTTGCTGATACTGACAAAGATGCAAGAATACTGATTTTTATTGTCTTGGTGATTCCCTATAGTTGTGCATGATGTCATTACAAATAGAAGGATTGATTTTTTTGGTTAGGCGGTTAAATCTGTGTGTTGTAATTGTTGTGATAAATTATACTGACTAGATAAAAATCTTTCTGGCAAGGTTTTTTGTGTTCTGATGTATTGCAGCTGCTTAGAACTGAAAAAAATTATTTCCTATATGATCAGTATCCTAAAGGATAGCCTACTTATTTTGCTAGATTCCAAATTTAAAACAAGTTTTCAATTTTTTAGCTTCAACTTAAAGCAGATTGAGCTACTCTTTGACCTTTTTGTTCTTGCATGAAATCTCTTCTTCATGTAGTGCTACCATTCGTTCATATAGCTATTAGTAGATTCCACGGTATGGGGGGAAAAGGCAATCCGCTGTTTCAGCCATGATTAAAGACCGAAGTTTTCTTTCGCAGTCTTGTAATTTCAAAATGCAGTTCATAATTTCCAGATGGGAATAAAATAAAATCTATATTACATTTTTTCTTACTAGCTGAAATATGTAATTATATCTAGTAATGCAAAGCACTTTGTTTAAAAAAAAATCTATGAACAGGAAACAGATGTTAGGCTTAGAATGTGAAGGCACTGTAAAGTACAATTATACATTAGCCCATGATGTCCTTCAAGTTCTCTTTGGGATATTAACTAATAGCTTTATTAAGTGATGAAATCTACTATTCTTTATGCAATCTGTGGTGTGGGTCAGTCTGTCAGAATTAACTAAGTATGATTGTTCGGTGCATAGCTGTATTTCAATTAAACCTGTGTGGGAAAGTACTTCACTGGAGTTGTAGGTGTAGGGTGGATAAGTGGTAAGACTGGAAACATCTTACCTTAAAATTTTGGGATGGGATGCTGTATTTCTATCTGAACATTTAAAAATTTTGGAAGACTGTTTTCTTCAGATTTCTTGAGTAACGAAGCAAAATGCTCATTTAGTTCATTATTCTGTTTCCTTGTGAACTGCTCGTTCCAAGTTTCTCTTTGTAAAAGGTAAGTGAAAGGAAGAATACTTTTGGCACTTAAAAGCAAATGACAAGAGACAGTGGTTCATCTGGTATTTCTGTCTTGTATTTGTTTCATTTATGTTAATAATTTGTGTTCTGTTAAATCCACCAAGTTAATAGTTATGATTCCAAAGTACTTGGTGGGAAACCACCTTATCAGTGAGGCTTTAGGTGCATGTCTATGCCAGAAAATACATGAATGTGCTCAACAGAACTTACATCTTAAAGTGCGTGCAGTATATTTTGTCTAGCTTTAGCTATAGAAAGCACACAGAGAAAGGACTTCAAAGTAGAGTTGGTTGTAACTTCCTCTTCTCTTGAAGGAGCTTTGAGGGTCCAGAACATGCGTGAAACCTGTGACCACCACACCTAGGCTATATTAGGATTTCTGTGCATGTAACGTGCATCCTTTATGTATCTGGGATACAGGTGACAAGCGATTAACTTTCTAAAGCATGCATTGTCTTCGATATGGAGGGACCAGTGTGCTTCTTTTTAGTACAAAATGATGCAGTGGAATTGCTAATATTTTCCAGTGCATAAGTGACCATCTGATGAATTCCCTCAGGATTTTTAAGTTTTTTGAGCTTACGTTTGTGGTTCTTAACTGCATACAGTGACCTGTAGTGATTGCTGAAACGTTCAGTTAATTAATACTAGGCATCTTGTGACATATTAGTCCAGAATGGAGTGAAATGACTTTAAATGAAAACAGTCATGTTCTTAATCCTGAAGGACACCCACATCTGTGATTGCAAGACTTGTAGAAGACATATGATTTTTTTTTTTTAATAGGAGGTAATTAGAAGAAGCAGTATTGTCTAGAGTCTTGTTTAAATATGGCCATTGAATGCGTATCATTTCAATTCTTCTTAGTAAGTGCATCTGAAAGTACCCTCTTGGCACCTACTGCTGAAGCAGATCAAATGCAATGCCTCAATTTTCTGCAAGTTACTGTGAGGTAAGCAATTAGTGGATTTAGGGTTTTTTTTTAGATGCTCTGCATAGAAAAGCACTTTCTAATTTTTAAGGTTCATTTTCTCACTTTCCACACTTTGTAGCAAAATTATTATTTGTTAAGAAAAGGGAAGAAAAATGAAACCAACACTTCCGCATAATTACAGAATTTCATCACCTCTGACTTGAAAAAAAATATTGTGATAAAACAAGGAATTTCTTGTTCTTTACTATGCATGGTGTGTTTAACACAGGTAAAGACTGTTATTTATGCTCTTTTATTTATTTTCTGCTGGCCTGCAATGTGTAGCTACTTTTGTATGAAATTTAAAAGCAGCTCCTATTATGAGAAAGAATTAAACTCTATCTTAAGATAGAAAAGAAATAACTTGAAAATGTGTTTTTAGTATGTATGCAAAGTGGAAAGGACAAAATCTGCTTAAATTTTTAAACACAGTATTCCCTGATTTTGTAGCAAGTTATTGCTTTCTTTTCAGATGATGCTTAGCTTTACAAAAGCTAGGTTAAAATAACACTTTTATTTGAAAGTGAGAACATCTAAAAATAGTTTATGACCTTTAAAAAGAATTCACAAAGTGATCATATACAGAAGAGACTGTTATTCAAAGGATGCTAAATTTGAGAAGAGTGAGAAAGAACTAATTATTTTCTGGTTTGTAGAGTGAGGTATTTTTTAGAACTTGGCAAATTCAGAAACATTTTGTGAAACTTGACTTTTTCTTATATCATAACTCTGATTTTGAGTGAAGTGTTTTGAGCTAGGAGATAAGCTGAGTAATAGGGTTGTGGTGCATAGCTTGGGTCCCAGCACTTTTGCCATTACTGATATTTTAGAAACAACAACGTACTTTACTGATAAGCAAGAAATCATGGATGTCTGCTAGGATGCTTCTTATAAACTACATTTACACTATTTTCTAAAGCTTAAGAGGGGAAGAAGGAAGCCTTTCCTCATTTTCTTCATTTTACAGAACTCGTCTGATAGTGTTTCCTTTTGAAAACATATCTTATTCTAGCGGAACGTCTAGAATCAGTAAGAACATAGGCAGATGGTTCTGTTTAAAAGGGAAGCGTTTCAAGAAGATAAAATTTGTAGGAGGCATCATGGCATTTTCTTCAGTCATTCATGAACGTTTTTGACCTGCCTCTGCGTGGACTGAGAACCAGATTCAGCTGCACGCACCTTGCTGTGCATCAAATTGTGCACCTTCCTTTAGCAGTATAGTTGTTACTGGAATGCGTAGTTTACGTGTCTGAGATACAGTAGATATTCCAGCGAATAATGTAACTGCTTCTCTCAGGCATTTTTCAATAAGATCCTAGACAGAGATTTTCAAAACTTCTTTCAGAAGTGATCTGAGAGATTGGAGGTTTTGTGTGCACATCTTTGTGAGATGAAAGGTGTCTGCTGAGAGAGTCGTCGTTCTAAAAATCAGTGCCTTGGAAGGCAGGTACCTGAAAGTTGAGAGGCCCCAAAGGTGCTTCGCTTCTCTTTGAACAGTCTAGGCCGACTCCGTATAAATACTGAGAGAAAATATGAGTGCATGACTAATAATGTTGCTGATTAATGATCTGGAAAGAATTTGTAAATAATTATAACTTTTATATCAGCTAAAGCTGGCAGCAGCATGAAGTCCGAATATCTGTGCTGTTGAGGAAGAAAGAGGCGCTGGTCCGAGGAGCCGGGCTGCAGGAAGCAGAGCCCGCGGGGCTGCTGCAGCAGCGCTGTGCTCACTCCCTAGCCCTGTGCTCTATGCTCCCTGCACTGAAAGAAAGTGAAAACCTTCCATGAAAGCCTGGTTATGTGTGTAATATGGTTCTTTTTCCAAGTTTGCTTATTTTTTGCTGGGTAAAGTTTAATAGACCATAATGTAGCATATTACTCGTGATCTAGATCTCGTTCTGTCTCAATTTTTAAAACAGCTTTTAAACTTTCTTGCCGGACTGCACATCCTTACTTCTGTAAATAGTAAAAATGAAAGAAATGTGACCGGCTTATTCTGTACCCTGTCTAATATTCCATCATCCTGCTAAGCATCCCACTGGGATTCCCTTTCGTTTGATTTTTGGTTTTGTTTGCATTTATGCTTTCTTCTGATCCTTTTGTATTTGTACATAATGTATAGCGTCCTCTGCCTCTTTTCAAGCCATCACTGTGCTCTTAGGTGCCCACTAATTAGTCCTATCTATTCTATATAACCAACAGCACTTTTAATTTCGAGATAATTTCTGGAATAACGCAGGTAACAGATTTCAGACTAGTAGAAGGGCAGGGTTGCAAATAATCAGATAAATCTTAATTAGCAAATGGCCAACTTTAAGGATACTCGCGTCAGAGGCCCTCGTATGTTGGTAGCTGAGGAGTTATTTGACTCTGGCAAGAAAACAGCAAACCCTTGTTGTCTTCTGAAATTTGAAATGGCTGCTCTCTGAAAGCACTGTTCAAGGTTGTAATGATATGGGAGTGAGATTTACAATACTTTGCTTCTGATGTTTTCCCTTAAATTGATAACTAATACTATTTAGGGAATGTCATCCTTATGTCAAACAAAATATAATCCCATAGCTTCTCTTCTATTTTTTTTATTTTTTTTAACAAAATTTCTTGCAAGAGTTTTCACTTGCCTGAACTCTTTCAAGAGTGAGCCACTGAAAATGAGTATTTTTTCTTTTGAAAACCTCTTAGGAAATGGCAAAGATTCTCAGTCACCCAAGAGTATATGCTTTTCTGCACATACCGGTTCAGTCTGCATCTGACAGCGTACTCATGGATATGAAAAGAGAATACTGCGTGGCAGACTTCAAACGAGTAGTGGATTTCCTTAAAGAAAAGTAAGTCTATTAATATTCAAGAAAATAGCATTTTTTCCTCAGTGTTAAGAATATGTGGCTGAAAACAATTACTTGCAACTTCATAATTAAGGTATGAAAAAGAATGAGCTTCTTTAAGCTTTCAAAGTCTCTGAGTTTTCTGTAAGCCCCTTGATGTGGTTTGCCCCTTTGCTTGAGCTTTTATAAGTATCTTAAATCTCTGCATGACATGCTTTTAATTTGTCAATATATTCCTAATCTTTTTCAAATAATACACTCTTAGATTATGTTTATGTTTAAACTACTATATATAGAGCGCTTGAAGTTCAAATTATGGAAGTCTTCTTTAATGTGGCTTTTCAGCATTGGGTACTTTGTGCACTGGAGATGATCCAGCTCCAGCTAACATAAATGGGTATTTTTTAAGTAAGTATTTTATGTCTTGTAGCTGGTATACATTTACATCATTACATTAATACTCTACACTTGCTTATGGGACTGATGAGTCCCATAATAATAATTTCAAAATGATTTTCCTTAAGAACAGAGTTCATTGTGAAAAAAAGTGTGTATCATATCACATTATATTTATGCAAATCTGAAGACAAAAGTTAAATTCACCTGAAAATCTCTTGTAACTACAAGCAATAATTTAATACATAGTGAAATCTTTTCTTAACATTTAAAATTTACCACTGAAATATTTTGATGGGTATTTCTGCACTGAATTTCACAAAAACACTTATCTAGAAAATGTTTTTAGTTTTATTTTAGCTACCTTCACACTCTCTCTCTGGCTCACTCTTTCTCTTTCTTTTTTTTTTGGAATTAATCTAGAGGATTTTTCTTTTCCTTTTTGTACCCTTGCCTCTAAAATTTCATCAAGATATTTGTGCATAAAAGAACCAAGTTTCATTATCCAGATCACTGAAAAATCCAGCAGTTTAACTATGTAAAATATGTGATGCAAGAGCTGCCTGGAAATTGTGATGTGTAAAAAAGAAAAGCAAGTTGCAAAACAACAGAATCTATTTTGCAAACATTATGTATAGTTTATAGGATATTCTGATGCATTTAGGACAACTGATTGAGATGGAGTTGCTTGTGAAGATACAAGTTCACTATTTGTCATCTTCATTATTTTTACATGTTGATTGGGCATTAATTTCCCACCCTAAACAATGCACGTACATTTTTGGTACTTAATTTTCATGTGGCAATGGGTTACTTTTTCTTTTTAATTAACAGATATATTGACACATATCTTAAGTGGGAACTATGTCAATTTATATCTTAGTTGACTTGAAGCTGATTCATTGCTCTCCTCAGTAGTTTTAACATTGGCAGCTATTATCATAACAGCAGCTGGATTTCAGATAACCTAGTATAACTGGCACATGTTAGGGCATATGGGAATTTATTAAATCATTCAGCTCTTGCACACAGAAAAGCGTGAATTACTTAATATCCAAATTTAAAACAGCTGGTCATTGAATGTACAGTAATCTATGACATACGTCATTTTCCACAGGCTTTTTTGTAGTAAACTTAACGAGGGAAAAATAATGTTTTTGATTCCTTATTTTGTTACATAATAATAAATATCCTACTTTATTAAAAAAACTACCAAATTGTCTAGTAGTTCCAATTAGAAAACAGTCTTCAAATACTAAGGTGGAAAATTCTTTGCAACATATGGCAGCAGGATGAGAAAGCTATGTGAAGACAGAGAAAATGTTTTGGATATTTGAACATGTGCACATCTGTAAAACTAATTTTTTTTCTTTTGGACTTCAGAGCATGGCGTCTTCATCTGTAGTCTCTCCTCTTACAGCAGCAGCCAGCTATTACATTCTCATATAGATATTCCCATAAAGATCTCTCAGCACAAAGATTGCCAGGACTGCAGACAGCTCCAGAGCTTGGAGCCAGAACAGCTAAAATTAAATATGTGTTTGAACTACTTTAATAGCCAAAAGGGATTATTTCCATCTTCCATTTAACAAAAAGGACAAATAAAATAAAATAAAAGTAGAGTCCCCTATATCTTCTTTCCGTATTCTTAGGGCCATGAAGTCATGTAGAGACTTCCTTCGTATCACGTACAGGACCTTATCAGTAGATTCCAAATGGTGCCTTCATCTCTAAAAGGTGACATCTACTGTGATCGTATCTTGACTTAAAACTCCATTAAACCAATAATTCTTTAGGCTGATGTGCTGAAGAAGTAAAGCCACACATACAGGAGTTGCATGGTTATCAGTTATGTGCTTGATAACTTGATTTCGGATATCTAAGCAAATAGAAATGAAATAGGGCAAGTAAAAAGTGAAGAAAGAAAAGAATGAACCATATTGTACCTAATCTTTTTGGTTTGGGAACCCCGATGACAACAGCAACTCCTGGAGCTTTTTCTCAATCAACAAAACAGTTTGAGGCTTTCTTCTTTCAAAAGAAGTAGCAAAGCCCTTTCCTTCTTCAGGAGAGCTGGGAATGTTTGTGGAGGTACCTACTTCTGGGCACGGAGATTTATCTATATGCTGCTTAGCACAGAACGCTTTATACAGAAGCTATAGATAGCGTTCTCAAGAGCCTATTACTTTTTATGTTAAATGCCCTTTTTAAAGGAATGGAGAATTCTAGAGCCTCCAAGACTGTCATATTAGATTTGTGCCACTAATGCTTTTTTTGTTTTGTTTTGAGGATTTTTTTCCACAAACAGGAGAAACGCACTTAAAATATGAAGGCTGATATTCTAGTGCAGTCAGTTGATATGCAATACTCTGTGTTTTAGGGCTGCTCTCCCCAGCTGGATAACAATGTCTTTGGTTTGGTGTGAAGGCTGTTTGCAAAATATATAGAATATAATGCCAGGAGGACAAATATATCAGACTGAAAGACTGTATTAAAGAAGCCTTATTTTATACTTTTTCAGAAATGCCTTCTTTGATGCTTCACACCCCTCTCTGCACTTAAATTTCAGCAAATTGTAGTTCAGAAAAATGCTTTTGTGTAGTTCATATGTCAGTAGCTAATCTACAGATACTTTTTCTTTTTTTACCGAAAGTTTATTTGTAAGCTGCATTTTAGAGAGCGACAGCATAAAGGAAGAGAGGATGTGTGGACCTAACTTAGAAGGTAGCCCTGTACAATCTATCCTTTGGTAAGAGTCCTTACGCAGTCCTTATGCATGTTACCGTGCATGTTCTGGCTGGTATCTGTGGATCTGGTGAGACTGTTCTCAGGATTGATTCATGGATGCGATATTAATTTCAGAGTATTTGCAGCAAAATATAGGATCTTTACAAATTGCTGATTCAGAAATGTAAGCCAGGGCCACGTTTAGTTTTATAACAGAAATTCTGCCAGTTGAGGTTTCATTGTATCAAAATGTGAGTTAGTTTTCTTTTTTAAGCAATCTCAGCTTTCAAGATTCAGCATAAATTGTATTTCTGAAGGATGTTGTTTGTAGTTCCAAAAAACTGCTTTACTTATCTCAAAGTTCTGCCACTTAATGCCCTGAAATGTACGTTTACTGATAAAAGCAAACAATTGGAATACATTTTAGTTAAAGAATTATCTGAAACTGAATGTCATATTCTGTAATTACTTGAATAATCAGCAATGTGAATATATGCCGATGAAAGAACTCGTAGCCTGGTAATGTTCTTTCAAATTTCTGGTCTGCCATTGCTTACTGCACTGCACTCTCTTATCCTGTCTGATGTGTGAGGAGATTAGGGTGTGAATCAAAGGTTATGTTAATCTTTCCCTGTTACTGCCTCTTCATAAGATGAGAGAATTGTAAAAGCAAAACCTTGACAAATAAAAAAAATAGGGAAATACAGAGCAAAGCTGAAACACTGTACTCTTGTATTTTAGGAAGTAGCGTAACATTGAGGATAAAGCTGCTTATGGTTCCCAGTTTGTTTGTTGTTGTGCTTCTGAGGTCCTAGCATAACATTAATGTGGCTGGCTGCTGCCAATCACTCAAGATCATCTCACAGTTCATACTGGAAATATCGAAGCTTGGTAGCATAAGCTGAAAGTCAGCAAACCTGGGCTGCCAGAGGGGAGAGTCAAGGCTCCATCAGGCAGAGTCCTGTTCTCTCCTGCACTGTTCCTGTGTTCTCCATCGAAATCAGAGAACTGCTAGAAAGCCTGTCCTAACCTCGCTTACTTTTAGTAGGAACCAGTACTTGATTTTTCAGCATATGTAGACCTATATTTATATGCAGTTGGAAAAAGAAAGTAATGGAGAGAAGGTAAATGAGTGCTGTGGAAAATAAATTGAAAGCTTAGGAGGAGATTAATCACTTAGCCCGTTACAGGCTATAGCTGTAAGTCTGAACAACCTGAAGGTACTGCCCACCTTTGAGAGAAGATATGATAGAGTCCTCTGACATCACTGGCTTCAGGCAGGCTCCTTCCTTTCCTCTTTCTTGCCAAGCAGTTATGCCAAGTAATGGCAGCTTCAACATTTTTCTAGGCCATCTCTTGCTCCTGCTTTTCACGTTTTAGGGGTTTCAACAGCTAGGGGTTAGGGAGGGGCCATCACTTGTTTCTGTTGATCTGCCCTAACTTCTGTCTGTGCTGTTGTGAGGCAGCCAGGCTGCCTGGGCGTGGAGAGGGTCCGCTTCAAGAGGGACTGAGAGGGAACTGGTCTCAGCGACTCTCTGTTCCAGGTCATGCTGCATATCTATGTTTATACAAGCTTTTCTGGCAATATTTGTGTATCTGTCTGAAAGAAACTTTTTATAGTCTACTTTCTCAATATGCTTTTCTCCAGGATGTTGCAGTATGGCTCTTCTTGCCTTGCAGGGTGATTTCACAAGCAGTTTGTTTCCCAAGTTCTAGGCCCAGTAACACATATCGTAAAAGCCTCTGTGAGCAGTTCATCCTTTGATCACAAAGTCTCTCTCTCTATACATTTCTGGTGCAAGCATGTATCTTATTGTCTGGAAGTCTTCTGCTTGATTTTTTTTTTTTATGTTTTCTAGTAAGTAATTTTAGACTAAAGT